GACTCATAGTGACCCCCATTGGGTTTCCGAGGCAGTAAATCTTTACGGAAGTAGATTGCCCCATCTTCCTTCTGTGCAGCAACTGGTGGGTTTGAACTGCCAACTGTCATTGTTAGCAGTCAAATGCTTTAGGCACTATGCCTTCAGAGCTCCTTTCTCACAGTTTAGGAGTCTAGAAATCTGAATTCAGGGAACTAACTCTAGGAGAAGCTTTCTCTCTGTCAGCTCTGAAAGGCCTTGTCTCTTTTGAGCTTTTGCTGCTGGGCAATCTTCATGTGCTTGGCATCTCTCTTCCCTCATCTCTGCTTCTTTCATTTGCTTGTTTAATCTCTTTTTTATCTCAAAAGAGATTGACTTAACAGACACCCTTACACTAATCCTGTCTCATTAACGTAACAAAGAAAACCCATTCCCAAATGAGATTATAATCATAGGCACAGAGGTTACGATTTATAATACATATTTCTTGGGGGACATAATTCAATCCATAACACTATACAAATTTGGGTCAGAGCTGAATTGCTCAGGACAGTAAGGAGAAAGGTATGCTTCTTACCCTTTACCACTCAGCTGTAGCAACAATAATGAAGATGGAGTGGGAGTGGGCAAGATTTTGTTCTGTTATCTACAAGGTCACTATGAGTTGGAACCATCTTGACATCACTTAACAACAAGAAGAACTCAGCATCCTCTTTAAACAAATACTGAATGACTATTAGGGAGTATAGTGACCTGGGGAGACAAAGTAACATCCTATTTCAGAATTCTTTTGGTTGCAACTAATAGAGGATCCAACTCAAACTATCTAAAACAGTAAAGGAATGGCAACCTCAAGAACATAAAGGTAGGGTGGGTCTCAGTGCTAATTCAGATAGACTTTTTTTTTTTTTTTTGGTGAAATTTGCTCATGAGAAGAACTGGTCCTCAAGTTAGTCTGCACTGTAGCAAAATGGTTATAGCATTTCATATGCCATAGGAAGATGAAGCAATCTACTTCCCTAAGATTTACAGCCTTGGAAACCAAATGGGGGTTGCTATGAGTTGGAACTGACTTAATGGCAGTAAGTTTTTTTGAGTTTAATCAGGGAATAAATATCCTAGGCTTCACTGTGACTGGCCTATCTTATGGTAGGGCCCACACTCGATCTCACTGGCAAGGCCTGGAATGCCCTGAACCATCTGGACTTACTTGTCTAGTTCTGATCTAATCATTGTGACAGGGACAGAATAGTTCTTATTGGCTTAGAACCCATGGTACTGAAGTAAGAAGTCCAAGCTATACTGAATGCATTGGGGAAAAACAGGGATCCAGGAATTGGTGGAAAACAAATTGAGATGTTTTAATAAACAGATGCAACACTGGAAGTGCTCACTTGTCTATACCAAAAATTTGGAAAACAGATACCTGGACAAATGACTGGAAAAGAGATCCATATTTGTGCCTATTTCAAAGAAAGGTGATCCAACAGATTGTAGAAATTATTGAACAGTATAATTAATATCACATGCAAGTAAATTTATGCTGAACATAATTCAAAAAGTAGTACATCGACAGGGAACTGCCAGAAATTCAAGCTGAATTCAGAAGAGGAAGTGGAACGAGGGATATCATTGCTGTTATCAGATGGATCTTTGCTGAAAGCAGAGAATGCCAGAAAGATGTTTACCTGTTTTACTGACAATCTAAGGGCATCGGACTGTGTGGATCATAATAGGTTATGGGCAACATAATGAAGAATGAGAATTCCAGAACACTTCATTGTATTCATGTAGAATGTGTACATAAACAAAGAGGCAGTCATTCAAACAGAACATGGGGATTCTGCATGGTCTTAAATCAGGAAAGGTGTGCATGAAAGCTGCATCTTTTCACTACATACTTCTTTAATGTGTATACTGAGTAAATAAGAAACTGGACTATATGAAAAAGGTGATTATTAGGATTGGAGGAAGACTCATTATCAACCTGTGATATGCAGATGACACAACCTCACTTGCTGAAAATTAAGACGACTTATTGATAAATATCAAAGATTACAGCCTTCAGTATGGATGGCATCTTAACATAAAGAAAACAAAAATCTTTACAACTGGATCAATAAGAAACATTATGATAAATAGAGGGGAAAAAAAAGATGAAGTTGTCAAGGATTTCATTTTACTTGGATCCAAAATCAACACCCATGGAAACAACAATCTGAAATGAAATGATGTATTGCATTGGGCAAATGTGCTGCCAAAGATCTTGCTAAAGCATTCAAAGGCAAAGATGTCACTCTGAGGACTAAGGTGCACCTGTTCCAAGCCATGGTATTTTCAATTGCCTCATATCCACATGAAAACTAGAAAATGAGTAAGGGAGACCCAGGAAGAATTGAAACCTTTTAATTACAGTGTTGGCGAAGAATGTTGAATATACCACGGACTGCTAGGAGAACGAACAAATCTATTTTGGAAGAAGTACAACCAAAATGCTCTTAGAAGGGAGGACAGTAAGACTTCATCTCACAAACTTTGGTCATTGAGCGGACATCATGCTGGGTTAAGTAGATGGTCAGCAAAAAAGGCGAAGATCCTCAATGAGATGGACTGAAACAGTGGCTGCAACAATGGGCTCAAACATAGCAAAGATTGTGAGGATGACACAGGACTGGGCAGTACTTCATTCTGTCATACATACAATTGATAGAGTTGTAACAAACTTTACAGTACCTAACAACAAAGGCTTAGGACAAACTGGGGTGGCACTGAGAACTCTTGGCAATCAAACTTACCCAAGCTAGCCAGTAGTTGCCACACAGTGGGAGAGGGGAAGAATGGACGTAGGGAAAATGACTACAAAGTACATTGCAAATAAGTAGTAGTGTAGCCTTGCTTTTCTTACAGGTTTACTCATATTTATATTGGTCTCTCTTATGGGCTGCCATTTTGGTGGCAGTGCTTTTTATACATTTTATTCATCTTTTAATTCTCTCAGCCTTTAGCCCACAGTGGCCTTCACTTACTAAGTGTAGAACAATGTTAAATTATACTGAGGTGTAAGCCAAGGCCTAAGAATAAGCTAAAATCACAAAATTAATGCTGGAGAACATACTCTAGACATTGTAGATACCAGACATGGTTCATTCACTTCTTTACACATTAAACAAATACAAGGCCGACTATTTGCCATGCACTACGTCTAGGGGTTTCACAAATTTTTAAGATAAAGTTTTAAGCAGTAATTTTTTACTACTTAAATAATCATCACTCAAATACAGATGTTTCTTATTATTTGTGCATTTTATTTGCTAACATTTATTTGTAACCCCAAATCAGTATGGCGCTTTCCTGGTTATTTGTAGATTATGTGCAGAGTAGCCAAAAATTTGAGTCACCAGATGTCCCCATTCCTAGCTGACTGAAAAAGGTGACGCTTTGCTTTCTTGTATCAGGCCTCATACAGTAAGCAAGTGTTCTTTTTGCTGTCTATTTAGTGCTACATTTTTCCCATTTTGGGTTAGTGATTATCATTGTTTAAAATGGCCTTCACGCCTAGTGCTGAAGTGCTCAGTGCAAGAAGGCCACGATATGCTTAACAGAGAAAACCTGTGATTGATGATCTTTGTTTGGGCATGAGGTATAAAGCTGTTGGTCCTGAGTTGGATGCTAATGAATCAACAACATATATTAAGTAAGGTTTCTTTAAACCAAAACACATATAATACAAGGTTATGTATTGATTGGTTTACAAAAAACATGACCAGAGGCTCACAGGAACCTAACCCTGTATTTTCCCCAGAGCAATGGTCCCCTTTATAGAGGACAACTACCATGAATAACAAGAATTGACTGTACCTCAAACATATCACAGGTAAGTGCTATGAAGGAAAAAAAAGTTCAGGATACTATAAGAGTTCATAAGAGAGTGATATGAATTAAAATGTTAGATGGGGGTTAGGGAAGGTCTTTCTGAAGAGGGGACACTTAAACTGAGATCTGAAACATAGAGGCATTAGAGAAATGAAAAGGATGAAAGTAGGAAATTATTCTTGGCCTAGGGATTCGCACCAAAGTTAAAAGCATAGAAAAAAAAAAACAGTTTAGTTGAAGAAATGAAAGAAGGGCAGTGTTCCTGGAGCTAGAAGTGGGAGGAAGCAGTAGGTAGGAGCCACTTAAACAGGGTTTTGTAAGTCATACTAACTTTTAAAGTCCTTTCTTGGGTGGGTTCCACCCACATCTTCAAGAAAATTTGAACCCTGGGCTTCGTCCAATTTTCTGACCAGCTTGACTCAGCATGCTCTTCGTCTCTCATCTTATCAGCATGTTAGGGTGCCATCAAGCTTCCTTCCAGCTCCTCTGCCTTGGCATTAATTCTTTGCTAGCTATCTGATTTCCCTGACCCCTCAACTTTCTATCAGGGCCCTTCTGAGTGTTCTCTTATTTCACTACTGCTCCCCCTCAACCCGCAACTGTCTCAATTCTTCAGTCTGACATTCACTCGTCCTTCGAAGCCTCGGCCTGGTTCATACTTGAGGATATTAGCAATTTAAAGAGGTCTCACCAATCCTGGACTGTTAGATCAGAACAATAGCTTACCCAACACCCACATTCAGATTGTTCCGCCACAACTACTCTGGGGGATGATTTTATTTGCGGCTGCTTCCTCCGTCACCGTGCGGAAGGGCACCATAAGGATTTTTCCCGAAACGTTCCTGTCACAAGTCTCGTCCATCTCTTACTCTCTGCCACTTCCCTGGACCAGGATCTCCTCAAAGCCCTTGGGTAACACTGCAGTCACTGCTGCGCTTCAGGGAGTCGGCACCGGCCTCGCGACGGGGAGGAAAGGGGCGAGGGCTGAGGAAGACTGGGCGACAGAACGCAGAAAGGCGTGCGGGGCGCGGGAAACGGGGGGAGGGAGCAGGCGAGAGGATAGCCCCGCGCGCACAGAGCGGGAGGAAGGCGCGGGCGGAAGGCTGCTGGGGTGGGCTGGGAAGGTCGGGGGCGGAGCGGCGGCGCGCCGGGGGCGGAGCTCTCGAGCCGGTCACGTGACGGAACCGGCGGCGGCGTCGGTGGCCGCGGCGTCTGTAGAGGCGCCCAGTGCAGGATGGTGCAGGAGGCGGCGGCGGCGGCCCTGGTGGCGGCGGCGTCGTTGGCGGCTGCGGGAGGGGGTGCTGTGGCGGCAATAGCGGCGGTGCCCGCGGCGAGTATAAAATGGCGGATTTCGAAGAGTTGAGGGTAAGCGGGGTCCGGGAGTGGAGCGCAGAGGCAGCGGGGGAGGGGAGGCGGAGAAGCTGCAACGTCGCCTGCCGTCACCTTCTTCTTTCTCCGAGACCGGTTGGCCGAGCCTCGAACCCCGGCGCGCGTCCTAGCGGGTGCGTGAGTGGGCGCCCTAGCGGGCGGAGGAGGGAGCGAGTCGGCGGAGGACGCCTGGGCCGCGTGGGGGCGGTGGGCCTGGGCCGAAGGCGAACCCGCCTGTGGGTACTGTAGGCGGATCCCGCACACCTGGCGCGGGGGCCGGGCCGGCCTGGAAGGGGCGCGTGGGGTCCGATTTCCCCGTTTGTTTTAAAGTCTGGGGTAGAAACTGCATTTTATTTTCCACTTTCTCAAGGAGTATACGTCTCTGTGGGGATTCAGAAGTCTACATGGTACTTACTTGGAGGAAGACTATTCTCTGAAACGTGAACTTGCGCTTGGGAATTTTTCTCTTCTACAGGGCTGATGCTACCGTGTGGTCAGTCAGGTCTGTCACCAAAAAAGGCCCCTTCTTCCAACTACTGTTTCTCCACAAACAAGAAGCGTAATCTTTTGGGAACCTTTCTTAAAATAATCGGACTTAATTAAACCTTGATATTTTGTTAGTACTATGGTAAGAAATTGAGAAAGTCTGTGTTGTTAGGAGGTGGATCTGTCAGCGAACTCATTTTGCTTGAGGAAAAAAAAAATCCTAGCCGTAGAACAAGGTCGTAACTTTGTTGTTGATATCTTTGTATGTTAGAGGTTTGTAATGTGGTATGATGGAAGGTGGAACAGAAAAATTTTTCCCCTCAGACTGATAATCTTTGGGCTTAACTGAAGCAAAACTAAGTGTGATGAATGAGTTGAATTTATTTTTTATGGTCACTGAATTCTGGTAGCATAGTGGCTAAGACACTTGACTGCTAACCAGAGGGCTGGCGGTTCAAACCCACCAGCCACTCCTCAGAAGGAAGATGGGGCAGTCTACTTCCGTAGTGATACTGCCTCCGAAACCCAAGGAGGGGTCGCTATGAGTCGGCTCCGACTCAGCGGCACATAACAACAACAACCCTGGTATTTTAAAAAATGTATTTCAAAATAGGGATGGATGTCAGCTTGAAGTTAAGTTAACTCTAGCCAGTTTACATAACAGACTATGATGTTAGGGTTACTATTTTTGGAATAAGAAGAGGAATCCATTGAAGAGTAGGTTTTGTATGTTTATTATTATTTTCAGCAAGGGATGTGATAGGTTAAAGTCGTTTGTTACCTGGCCAGTATATTGGACACCTGTGAAAGGACATATTCGATATTGTTGTAGTTTACATAATGACTGCTATTTACCCCCCAGCTGTTTCAAAAGGAATTATAAAAGAATATATGAGAAAGGAATGTTCATGCATTTTATGCTCTGTAGTGCCTAAGGCACTTGACTGCTCACCAGAAGGCTGAAGGTTCAAACCCACCAGCCACTCCTCAGAAGGAAGGTTGGGCAATCCTACTTCCGTAGTGATACTGCCTCGGAAACCCAAGGAGGGGTCGCTGTGAGTCGGGGCTGACTCGATAGCAAACAACAACAACAACACTAGTTTACAGAGGAGCATAATAATAAGTAAAAGGTTTCAGTGGCTGAAAACTTCAGATGTGGAGTTTTAACACCTGTGGAGCTTTTGGAAAAAAAAAACAAAAACCTGCCCTGAGCTCTCTCACCTTTGTAAATTCATATATTGTTAGGTTTAGGATGGATTTAGAAGACTGAATTTTGAAGTTAAAATTATTCTCATCGCAATATTGTATTAATTTTTGTGTAGTAACAGATTTTTGCAACTTTTGCTCTTCTCAGTTTTTGTGTTGATGAGAACTTTTCCAGAACTTATGTCAGACTTTTATGATGATGTTGGTCAAGGCTTAACAAAAAAATGGAGGATTTATTTACCGGAATAGGGCAGAAAGAGTTAGGTTGGAGTGGAACCAGGAACTGGAAAGCGATCCAAAAGTGAAGAATCTTTCCTATTTTGTGGATCAGCTTCATTGACCGCTTTGAGTGAATCTGCTATCTTTGCTTCTTCTTGCACTTGATAGAAAATAGCCCCTCCCCCACAGTTCACTTCAGGTGACCAACAGAGATTAATCTGGAAGGGTTTTCTTTCAGAGCTGGGGAGGATAATGGACTGCGTAGATGCTTGAAGCGTTATCCATCCTCATCTTTGCCTTAGTTGCACAGTGCAGACCTATCTTCCCTTACATTCAAAGATAAACTGTACCTCTTTTCCCACCATTGCAAACATAATCATCCTCTTTATGGAGTGATAAGATACCACAGGTGATGATGGTGGTATTATGATAATGGCAGATAGCTACGATAATACTGTGCTTGTTATGATGCAAGGAGCTCTGGTGGTGTAGTGCCTAAGGCATTTGACTGCTAACCAGAAGGTTGGTGGTTCAAATCTGCCAGCCATTCCGCAGAAGGAAGACTGGGCAGTCTACTTCGTGAAGATTTACTGCTTCAGAAACCCAAAGGGAGTCACTATGAGTCAGAATCTACTTGATGGCAGGTAGGTTTGTTCTACCAGCCTTCTGGTTAGCAGTCAAATGCCTTAGGCACTACGCCACCAGAGCTATTCACATATACATACTTATTTAATTCTCACAATACTATGAGAACATTGAGGCATTGGGAGATTTAAATAACCTGGCCAAGGTCACAGAGCCCACGATGGAAAGAGCTGAGATTTTTAATCTCAGAGGTCTGTGCTTTTCAGAGAGTCTAAGCAGTACTTTGCGCCGTTTCCTTTGAGTCTAGATAGAATGTATAGCCATAATCCTGAAATCTGTGGATTAAAATGAAAAATAATCATTGGATGGAGTAAAGCTTTTGGAACGTTCATTTGCTGATGTGGCGTGACTCAAAATGAGAGGAAATAGCTGCAAAACAAAAAACAAAAACCCCACTACCATCAAGTATATTCTGACTCATAGCGACCTTATAGGACAGAGTAGAACTGCCCCATAGAGTTTCCAAAGGTGTAAATATATATACATAAGTGTATATATATATATATATATTTTTTTTTTTTTTAGTAAAACTTTATTGTGACTTGGGTGAAAGTTTACAGAACAAAATCATATTCCCTTCAACAGTTCATACCCAGTTTGTTTCCTGACATTGATTGCAATCCCTGCAAAGTAATAGCTCTCTTTTCACTTCCTCCCTGTGGTTACCTTTTCCCTGTATCCTTTTCCCCTATGCATTCCTGCTTTCTGGGCTTTCTGCCTGTGCAAGTGCTGCCCTTCTGATCTTCTAGGGTTAATTGTTGTAAGGAGTATACCTCCCTGATGTAATTGTTGACCTCCTAGGCCTGTCTGTTGTTAGGCTGAAGATTAAGCCACTAGAGTGTGTTCAATTCCAAGCCTGAAGTGTAATTATGGGCCATAGTCGCAGGGATTTCACTAGTCTCTATCTGGCCAGTAAGCCTGGTGTTTTTTATGATTTTGAGTCTTATTCCATTTTCTCCTATTCTATCCAGGGTCTCCAATTATGATCCCTTTCCAAATGGTTGGCAGTGGTGGCCAGGCAGCCTCTAGTTCTGGTCTCAGGGTCATGTAGGCTGAGGTTGCCAATTCCTTGGACTAATTGTTCCCATGTGTCTTAGATTTTCTTCACTTTGGATGAGGAAAGACCAATAGTAGACACTAGCAAGCTTTTAAGACCCCAGTCACTACTCACCAAAGCAGGATGTAGAAAGATGTTTTCGTGTACTATGTTATGCCAGTTGTGTTTGATGCACCACAGACTCAACGACTCACTCCCTCAAGTTGTTTGGTTGTGACTAAAATTATCATAGTCACACTATGGGTGTGAGAAATTATCATAACTTTGCCCCTGTTTGTTCTGTTATCTATATGGATGTTTTTTATAGCACGTACAAATATCTATATAGAAATACTTGTTTGCTAAACCTATATATGGTCATAGGTATATTCCTGTTTGCCTACCTATACCTGATCATCTTGCCAAGGCTGTAAATCTTTATAGAAACAGAATGCCTCATCTTTCTCCCACAGGCCAGCTGGTCAGTTTGAACTGCTGACTTTTTGGTTAGTAGCCGAATCCCTTAACCACTGTGCCACCAGAACTCTTTGAAACAGCTGTAAACATCCTTAATTTGGAACTTGGAATGTACAAAATGTGAATCAAGAAAATTTGGAAGTTGTCAAAAAATGAAGTGGAATGCTTGAAGATCAGTATCCTAAGCATTAATGAGCTGAAATGGACTAGTATTGGCCATTTTGAATCGGACAGTCATGTAGTCTGCTGTGCTGGGAATTTTGAAGAGGAATGAAGTATCATTGATCCCTCAAAAAAAAGTGTTTCAAGGTCTATCCTGAAATTCAATGTCAGTGACAGGATAATAGCCATGTATCTACAAGGAATACCACTTAATATGACTGTTATTCAAATTTACACACTAGCCACTAATGCCAAAGATAAACAAATTGAATATTTTTACCAAGTTGTGTAGTCTGAACTGGTCAAACATGCATCAAAATGCATTGATGATTACTGATGATTGGAATGTGAAAGCTGAGAACAAAGAAGGATCAATACTTGGAAAATAAGTCCTTAGTGATAGACAGCGGAGATCACATGAGTGTTTATCAAACCTTAGTGTAGTGCCTAAGGCACTTGACTGCTAACCAGAAGGCTGGCAGTTCAAATCCAGCAGCCACTCCTCAGAAGGAAGGTTGGGCAGTCTACTTCTGTAGTGATACAGCCTCAGAAACCCAAGGGGGGGTTTGCTAAGAGTTGGGTCCGACTTCACAGCACGTAACAGCAACAACAGTTATTTATTCAGTGCAAATACATTTTTTTCAACAACATAAATGGCAACTATACACCTTGACCTTGCTGGATGGAATATACAGGAATCAAATTGACTACATCTGTGGAAAGAGATGATGGAGAAGCTCAATATCATTAGAACAAGGCCAGGGCT